TAATGGGGAGATAAGGACACATATGTAATACCTTAATCAATAAAGAAATTAAAATAAATAAATAAATAAATAAAATTGTAGAAGAGTTTTTGAAATACTTCATGTGATCCTTATAAGAACAGTTTAGGTCAGTCTTATTTTGTAGTTAGTGACAAAGAGAAGAGACATTAATATAAAGAAATTAAAATAAATAAATAAATAAATAAAATTGCTTTAGAGTTTTTGAAATACTTCATGTGATCCTTATAAGAACAGTTTAGGTCAGTCTTATTTTGTAGTTAGTGACAAAGAGAAGCATAGACATTAATTTTCTTAACTGCTGCTTATTATGCTCAACATAGAACTTACATCAAAGTTGAAACTCATATATATATTTTCCAAATGACAGTTCTATCTGTATGCAACAGTGCAGAGTGCCTATGAGTATGTATTTGTGAGTAAAAAAGTGTTTATATTATACTGTTAGCGGAAAGGGCACATGGCCATGAATGGGTCTGCCTAGGGCTGGCCAGTAGTGTGGCCTCTTGACTTCGTGCAGGAAAGATTTCACAGCATGGGCCCAGGTGACGATGAGGGAGTGTTTATTAAAGCTGGGGACAGTGCAACAAGGAAGGGCTGGTACTGAAGAAGCAACAGGAGAGCCTAGGCTGGGCTGCCTTAGCTCTCTGAGAAGTCAGGGAAAAGGGGGCCTGGGAACAGGTTCAGGGGAATAGCTTTCGATAAGCTGCCACTGCCCATTGCTCCCCAGGTTGCAAGCCTCATGGGGTCCCTTCGAGTTTAGGAGATGCATGCCTTTTGTGGGGAAAAAGGGAGGGATGAAGAGGAGACAAGGATTGGCAGGGGCTGCTCCCCAAAGGGACAGAACGTGCTGGGTCCTTTGTCTGGAGGCTTTATCTCTTTCTCACAGGTGTCAGGGGAGGTTTTCAGCAGAATATTCATCAGTTTTGGGTTTTTTTTAGGAGTGCCCCTCCAGGGCCATGGTCTCCACCAATTGGTCAGTGTCAGGACAAGGATCGTGTTTGTTATAAATACAGATTCCGGGGCTTCATTCTTCAGACTTCTTGGATCAGGGGGTGGGATCCTTGGAATTAGCATTTGTAAACAAGAGGCTCACATGACTTATGCACCATGATGCTTAAAAAATCTCTGGCTTAACATATTTAACTGCATGTAGTCTTAGAGAGCATAGATTTATAGAAAAGAAATCAGAAATCCACACGATCTTTCAGTCCCTCCTGCAGGTTTTGCCTCTTAACTCTGGTCATCCTTCCTTTTGGTTCTTTTCCTCTCCCTCTAAGGTAAAATACTCATAAATTAGAAAGGCTAAGAATTATACTATCATTATATCTAATTTGTGACATTCCAAATGAATTAATAAATGTTAGTTTTTATAGTAAATACTTTAAAATAAAAATTTAGAATTAGAAAGGAGCTTAGCTGACCGGCTCTTATGCCCAGAAAAGTATAGTGACTTGCTTACCTAGGCGATTAGTATGGATGGCCATTTTGAAACTACTCAATTTTAAATGACCATTCATTGGGAGAAATGGCCATAAAGGTCAGTTAACATTTAAAATGAAAACCCAGCTTTAGTTACATTTAATCGTACCTGCACTGGTGTGTAGAATTCAATTCCAGAATCCTGAGCCATATTTTATGACTTGTCTTTATTAACAGTTACTGGCCACTCGCTCTGTCTGCATGTCTGGGAGTAAGTGCTGGTTTGTCCATCTTATAAATGAGGAACCTGGGACATGCACAGATTAGGTAACTCACCCTAGACCAATGTTTCTCAAACTTTTCTATGAAAAGAATCACCTGGGAGTTTTGTTAGTAAGTAAATTCTGATTCATAGGTCTGGGGCGGGACTTGAGATTCTGCATTTTTAACCAGCTCTCAGGTATAGGCCAACACGGTGGGCTTACTGATCATACTGAGTAGCAAGTCTTAGATCACGACACAGTACCTGGCAGACTGTCTTAACCCTGACTGTCTGACACCAAAGCCCAGGCACTGAACCCTACGCAGAGTATGTGTTGACCTCTCTCTTCATTACATTTTGGTTTACAGATAGAGGAGTGAGGCCAGTTCTTGCTGCTTGTACATCTGTGATGTAACTTTACCCTTGAGGATATTCAGAGAAACAAAATACAACTGAATATCTGCCTTTTTTGGAGCCACTGTTCCCCGGAGGAAAAATATAGGGGGCAGTGGCAGCTGCCACCTCGCCTTTGCTTTGGAGTCACAGGCTTTCTCTTGCTCAGTGAATGGAGTTGTCCATCACTATCTTATTCCTCTATGCCCAAATATGCATCACACACATGCGTGCACACACACACGTGTGTGTGTGTGTGTATATAAATATACATATAGCATACACACATATAAACATACATATGTTGTCAAATGACAAAACTAAATAATTTAGAAACAGGTTTTATGTCCTTTATTCAAGGGAAAGTAATCAATGGATTGTGGCGCCTCACCAGCAGTGCAGCCCTGTTCCTGAGGGATTTGGGGAAGGAACGTTTTGTAGAGCCTTAGAAGAGGCACTAAGGGAACAGCACGATTGGCGAGGAGGCCGGGGATTACTTTGTAAGGCTAGCAGGTCCTGTTTTCTAGGGCAGTGGTTGCCAACTGGTGGTCTGCGGGCCACTGGTGGTCCGTGAGGTCCGAAGGTTGGCGACCGCTGTTCTAGAGGAAGGTCAGCTGGCTGAACTGAGGGGGAGGATTGTGATTGGTGTAGGTTGGATTTCCTGTAAGTGTAGTCTGATGGAGTTTAGATTTACCTGGTAGGACTTGGCCAGGCCATTGGGATGGCCTTCTTTTTGTGGGTCCCAATATATGAGTTAACTTTATCAATATAATCTATGTATTACACTTGCTTCATAATTGTTAGCTTACTTTACTTTGCTTCCAATTTTCTTTGGTGTTCATAGTTCCATTTTCTTCTGATTTGTCTTTTTATCCTCCTACTAGAGGCCTGGTGCAGAATTCGTGCACAGGTGGGGTCCCTCGGTGTGGCCAGCAGGAATTGGGCCGAAACTGGCAGTCCAAAGCCACCTGCTGCTCCTGCCTGCCACTCCCGCTCATCCCGGCCCTCCTGTGCCTGCCGAGGGCTTGCGCCCAGTCAGTCCTGATCAGGAGAGACTTGCGCCGCCACAGCAGCGCTCGCCAGCCATGAGCCCTGTGTCTGGCACCCGTCTCGAGGTGGGTAGGTGGGGGCCGGGACTTGATCGGTCTTCCAGGCAGGCTGTGGGACACCCTTGCTGGTCCAGGATCCGGATCCGTACCACTGATGTTCATGCCTGTTGTCGGGAGCCACCTGGTGGCTGCTTTTTTTTTTTCTTTATTGATTAAGGTATTACATATGTGTCCTTATCCCCTCATTGCTCCCCCCACCCCACTCCATTCATGCCCTCAAGCCCCTGGTGTCTGTGTCCATTGGTTAGGATAATATGCATGCATACAAGTCCTTTGGTTAATCTCTCCCCCTTGCTCCCACCCTCCCCTACCTTCCCTCTGAGGTTTGAGCAGATCAATGCTGCTTCTCTGTCTCTGGATCTGTTTTTGTTCAACAGTTT